CGGAGCTCCCCAGTTCGGGGCTATGGGGTTAATGAGCATTGAATTGACTTTACCGGTGTTGGTTAAGTAGTTTGCATTTTTTTCAACGTTTGAAACGATATGACTTTTTCCCCATCCCACACAGCAAAGCTTTACACTAATGTACTAAAAACTCAAATGTCTTGAGATTTATTCTGTGTTAGAATGGTTAATTTCTGTGCCTTAGTTTTTGTTCTAGACAAGTGTTTGTAGAGTATCCAATTTGTCCTATTTTAGTTACATACTTATGAATAAATGATTTTTTATTTTAAAATGACTCAACAGATCTCTCCAAAGTCTGTGTTAAACTGACTACGAATATTATGTCTCTTACCATGACAAATTTTTAATCTGCGCAGTTAGTAATAGTCAAATTATAAGATAAGAAAGATGCCCATCTGCATTTTTTTTACATTCGACACCCAGCATTGGCTCTTGTTTTACTATGAAATACACAAGAGAAGGGTACTCTGCTTTTGTTCATGAATTATGCTGTGTCTGTGACAACCTGCATACAACTAAGAAAGATATGCGATTAACCCCCCCCCCCCCCCTCCCCTTTCACAAAATGGGAATACATGGGTAGAGAAAAACTTCTGGTATAGAATAATGACAATAACAGTCAACACATTCATTCTTAGTTTTTGTGTCGGAAATATGCACGGATTCTTCTGAATGTAAAGAAATCAGAATGTTGTCAGTTATTGCAAATGGTCATAGAAATGATAATAAAAGCTGGAAAAGTCTGGTGCTGATTCAGTGTCACTGGAAAACTAGAAATTGTTCTGAAATCCCAGTTACGAAAAGTCATCCGTGTTATTCATTCAACTTACAAAATCTAGACTTTGCGTTAAGAAAAGTAAGGAATTTCTGGAGTTTAACAGATACTGTGGCATTGTAGGTTTATAAAGATATAAATAAGCTTTCAGATGATACCAATAACTCCACATGCCTAAAAATTGATGAGCAACTGATTCCACTGCTTCATGACACATTTAATTGTGCCTTTAGATGTTTTTTAGTAAAATTCACACACGTGTTTGTAAATGGACATAAAAGGTGTTGTGCCAAAGAGCGAAAATTAAATGATAATTGCCAAATATGCGGGGAAAATGCTGATTTCTTCGATTTCATTGTTTTGACGAGCTCCTGGTTTCACCACGATGCCTCACAAATGTCCTTGTTCCAGATTCGTTTCCTCCTGATGCTACGCAACAGCAAGGCCTTGTTCTGGCAGTTGATTTTCCCCATCGGTCTGGTGACAGGAGGCTTGGTTCTGGCAAAGTCCAACAGCTACCAAACACCGGAGACTCCCACCACTCTACTACTGCAGCCAAGTCTGTATGCTAATGTATCGGGCAATGGCAACCTTCCAGACTTCTTGGTTTTTGACTCATTCAGTAAGTGGCTAACAATTTTTTTATCTTTGTTTCTGTTTTGTTTTTGTTTTATGCATCTTGATTAATAATAGTAAGAAAAATAATTTTGTAATAGTAATAATGATAATAATAATAATAATAATAATAATTACAATTATAATAATAATAATAATAATTACAATTATAATAATAATAATGATAATAATAATCACAATTATAATAATAATAATAATAATAATAATAATAATTACAATTATAATAATAATAATAATAATAATTACAATTATAATAATAATAATAATAATAATAATAATAATAATAATAACAATAATAACAGTTCATCTGTGAATGTCTGACAATGACTTTTGCATCTGCATAGATTAAGGTTCTTTAACACTTTGCCGCCTCATCTGGCCGACTGGCGATGTTTACCACCCAGTTTCTTTGGATTTTCCCCAAAATATGATGACAAAGTGTTAAGCGAAAGAAAAGAAACAAGGGTTAAGATGACTTGCGGCTTCTTCTACGGCCAGTGAAACCGATTGTAGCAGAGAAGTGCTTGCCACATTTTGAGCATTCAAAACTTCATTTCTATGTGTGGATGTGTTTATCTTGCGGGCTTCTCTCTTGGCTTTAGCATTTCTAACTCATGAAGTCTCATATAACATGCTGCTCGCTCTGCAGTCTTTTTTAAAAGTACAGTATATGCAGTTTTTACAATTTTACAGGAGAGCCTAAAAACGGAATGTTGTTACCAAGAAAACAAACTGTTTGCAAACATCCCCAGTCAATATTTTCATTTCTCAAGAATACAATTTTGATAATAACTTCCTTATTGTCTTTAAAGCAAATGTTGTTTTCTTGGTAACGACATTCAGTTTTTTTGCCCTCTTTTAAGATTGTTAAAACTGTCTATACTGTACTTTTGAAAATTATTGCAGCACTGTGACTGCTGCTCTCCAACTGGGTCTGTTGGGCTCTCTTCCCTGTTGCGAATATGTGTCATGACGCAGTGGAATCAGACGCTTGTCACTTTTTAGGCATGTGGAGTTATTGGTATCACCTTAAAGCTTTTTCATTTGTCTTACTTTGGATGCAAATAATATCCATTATTAATCTTGGATAGAAATCGAGATATTTGCGTATGAAGTAGGTGGAGGTCGCCTTGTCTCAGGGGTAAAATTAGCGAGAAAACGACCACTAAAGCTTAGTTATTTTCTTAGCTTGAGAGTCCGTGGAAACAGTGAATTTACACTTTTTATGCCTTTAATTGACGTTTTCCAGTACAATCCACACTGAAATGTGTTCTTTAATGGACATGGAAGGGGTAGAGCTAAAAAACAAAAATTCGATGAAAATTCCCAAACCTGTGGAAAAATGCCTCTTTCTTCACTTCATTATTTTGACGAGCGCCTGATTCCACCAAACTGCCTCACATATTATGAAAAACTTTATAACAATACCATTTTTGTTTGTTTGTGTCTCCTGTGATTTTGCATTATCCATTGTCTTTGGAGGGACTATACAACAATAGAAAAGTAGGATTTGTCAACTTCAGTGGAGTTACAATTCGTCGCCTATCACACCAAAGGGCGTATCCCTGTTTTCTTACTTTTTCAGGAGAGCGGTTTAAAGATTTTTAGACTTTGGTTGCTTCATCCTTTTCCCTTGTCATTTAAGTAAACTGCATCCTACCATGGGGATATTTGGATATTGTGGGCATGATAAGATATCAAACAATGAGCAAGATTAGTTTTGCACTGTTTTTTATAATTTCACTGCGAAAGTATGCCATCTGTTGGCATACGCCCTTTCGCGTGATTGTTCAATTTTTTGTCCTGTCCAAAATCAGTGTATACGCCCATGTATACGCCCTGTGTTTGAGTGTCCACACAATTAATTACAGTCTTCAGACTGACCAGTAGAGGATAACATTTCTCCAAGACATCACTCCTCACCCCCCCCCCCCCCCATTCCACTCGCTAAATCTTACCCTTTCTCTTCTCCTCCCCATACCTGTCTGTCTGTCTGTCTGTCTGCCTGTCTGTCTGTCTGTCTGTCTGTCTGTCTGTCTGTCTGTCCGTCTGGAAAGTCTCCTTTTGTAGAACAAAGCATCTTCATGTGAAATTGGCAAGTATATGACCTGCTGGAGATCAAAATTCCCAGCCAGAATGCTGTGGTCAGCTTAGACCATCTTCTGCCAATCCTCCTTAAGTTGTCGCACCTTTTGTTTTTCTGCATCTTTCCTGTTGTAAATTTCCCTGAGTTCATTTTTCTGTGCTTCGTCCCCTTTTCGGAAAGAGTTGCTGAGTGAGAATTGGTCCTTTTTAGGACTGTGAAAGGCCAGGATTTTCGTCTTGAACACTCGTCTGAATGTATGAAAACTTGGGATGTCATTGCATGGATTTTTTTTCACGGACGTGTCGTACATTTTGGACAATGTGAGGTCTGGGTTGAGATACTCTTTGCTGGAAGAGGCCCTACAGTAGTGCGATTCCACGCGTAGAGGAGGGCCTAGAATCTAGTATTACTATGATATTACGTTATACGGCCCTGGCCTATGCCAGAAAAAAAAGGACAAACGTGTTCCTGTCGCTCACACGAAGGGGCGTATCCAAGGTATACGTCTTTTCGTGCGAATAGAATTGATCAAACTTTGTATAATTTTTTTGCACACGAAAAGGCGTAAGCCTGTGTACGTCGTTTCGTCTGGTTCGGTGGCGCTGAGTAATAGCGTACGCCCTTTTTGATTTTCTACTGCTAGTGCTGCTATTTTAAAGCTATGGATACGCCGTTTCGTGTGAACATAGATCTGAGGCAGCGCTATCTACTAGTAGTAACAACTCAAAACTGCCAAAATCTGGAATACGCCCTTTCGTGTGACAGGCGACGAATTGCATGTCAAGATGCTTGAAATCTTGCTTAGGGCTTTTTCAATAGATTTATGTTTATTGCCAAAACCTCTTGAATGAGAGTGACTTGACCAAATCTAAATATGCTTGTTCTGGGCAAATCAGAGTACTGACTTTGTATAGTGTTTTGTAAAAATCAGACTGCTGACTTTGTATAGCGTTTTGTAAAAATCAGACTGCTGACTTTGTATTGTGTTTTGTGAAAATCAGAGTGCTGACTTTGTATCGTGTTTTGTGTAAATCAGAGTGCTGACTTTGTATCGTGTTTTGTGTAAATCAGACTGCTGACTTTGTATCATGTTTTGTGTAAATCAGAGTGCTGACTTTGTATCGTGTTTTGCCCATATTTTTAGACTGTACTTCCCCATTGGTTCAAGGTTCAAGCCCAAACCCATTTCTCATTTATTACATTGATCTCACTCAGGTTCAGCAGCTTCCCAGGCTGTGGTGGACAATTTTAAGCAGCGTGTGTCGGTTGATGCTTACAAAACAGGCTCTGTGAATACTTCGGACGTAGCTCCACATCAGATTGGTTTACAGATGAGCCGTCTTTCCGGTCAGGTTAGTGAGCCTCACTTGTTTGTGTAGTTTTCAAAGGAATCATCTGTCTGGTCTGGTTAGTTGGCCTCATTTGTTATTTGTGTAGTTAACAAATTTACCGTCTTTCCGGTCAGGTTAGTAAGCCTCTCTAGTTGTTTGTGTAGCAACAAGACTGAATAAATCATATGTGAGGCAGCAAGCGCTCGTCAAAATAATGAAAGTGAAGAAAACTGGCATTTTTACCGCAGTTGGGAAATTTTTATCGATTTTTGTTTTTTTTGGCTCAACACCTTTCATATCCATTAAAGAACACATCTCTTTGTGAACTCTATTGAAAACGTTGATTAAAGGCACAAAAAATGTAAATTTTCAGTTTCCATGACTCTCAGCTAAGAATAACTAACTTTAGTGGCCATTTTCTCGCTAATTTTACCTCTGAACAGAACTCACCTCTTCATCACAATCCACTCGTCAAAAGGGATTTCTCGTGAGTAGCAATAACACTTAGAGACAAATTCGAGGCAAATG